AACGTTACAGTGCGAGATGCGCAACCGTCTCTATATCGACCGTGTAATCGATTGTCCCCCTTAACCTCAGACTACTCAACCCTCTAGACATAAACTATACATATACATATATAAATATAAATTATACTTATATGTATATGTTTATAGTCCCGAATTTCGTTTTCAAATATAATTCAATAAGTATATATAAATACATATATTAGTACATATATAGTATATTGTTATTATCATGATACAATTGTAATACTATGTGATATATATATATAATAATATACATATATATATATATTGCAATTTTAATAATATAATTGTAATATTACAGGATACAATATATTATATATTTATTAATATAATATATACACACACACAGAAATATATATATGTATAGGGTGTCCCAAAAATATTGGATGTCCTTGAATGGGGTGTTTCGGGGGGTGATTTAAAACAACTTTTTCCTTAGCGAAAATGTTGTACGAGGCATCGTTGAGGAGATATTGACGAAAAACCCCGACCAATCAGAGCGCGAGGCGGCCGCGTTCCTCGATCAATCAGAGCGCGGGTATGCCAATGGCGCGCTCGCGGTCGTAAGCTATTCGCTAGGCGGTCGCGCTCCACCGGCATACTCGCGCTCTGATTGGTCGGGGTTTTCCGTTAATATCTCCTCAACGAAGCCTCGGACAACATTTTCGCTAAGGAAAAAAGTTGTTTCAAATCACCTCCCGAACCACCCCATTCGATGACCTCCACCATTTTTGGGACACCCTGTATATATATTTGTACACGTACATACATACACGCAAACATACATACATACATATATGTATATCCGTTTCTCTGATAAGTCCTTCAAACACGCGATATCTTGGACAATTCTAATTTCAATCCCCTGCGCCCCTTCCCCCATCCCAACTACTTCCCCCTCCCCCCTCCTTTCCCCTGAATTTCCCCAAAGTTTGATAAACCTAGTCTTATATACTACCTATGTATACACACATACATGCACCCCGCTTTGTAAGTATGTATATGTGTGTATATGTACGTACATATATAAATATAAATAAGTATATATATGTATATATACATACATATATATGTGTATTGAACCCGAGGTCTCTCCTTTCGTTTAACGCGGGTTTTCGCTTATTATTAATATTATTATTATTATTATTAATATTATTATTATTATTATTATTATTATTATTATTATAATTACGTTTTTTCCTCTTATATTTTTCATTATTTTTTCTTCTACATCGTACCTACTAAATTTTAGTTTCATTTTTATATGGAATATTCAAATTTATGGTATTATACGTATACACATCTATATACACTTTTACAAACAACAATAAAAAGAAAAAAATAAATGAATAAAATATTTTAATCTACGATTCTATATATTATTACGTAATATAAAGATATATGGAGACATTTGCTACTTATATATATATATATATTTGTCAAATGTATTCGCGCGCGCGTGTATGTGCGTTTGGAAATGTTTTCACGCGGTCGCAGGGGGTCAGAGAAAGGCTTTTTTTCTTTATCGTTGTTGTTCCCGTGAACTGTAGAAACAACAATTTTTCTCACTCTCTCTCTCTCTCGCGCGCGCGCGCGCGCGCGCCATTTGAACCGTCAATTCGCCCCCGCCGCGCGAACACCTTTCCAAGCTGGTTACTCAAAAAACTATGCAGTTCTCTGAAACATGTAGAAACATACGTTCTTGTCTTGCGCATAGGCTGCAAAATGCAATAATAATATATTGTGATGCTCACGAAAGCACATAACATAATTTACCAAAATTGTAATGTTTAAATATTTCATGTGATTTTGGAAACTGTTATATTTTTTATTTCCTGCCAATTGTTTAATTTGTAATGTTGTTCTTTGTTCTTTTTTCAATAAAGTAAGCAAACCGATCATCATTGTTCCCTTCGACCTCTTCTTTCGCTAGGAAACATGTACCAGTGCCACAATGTAGGTGCTGTTACACAGCGGAAGATCCACTGCTTCTCAGGTTGGTATCCTGAGCCAGCGATGAGATCTATCATTGAGATTGGAATCGAAAAGCATTTGTTACGGAACTGGTGTAAGTCTACGAACAGGGAAAATCCTTATTGATCGATAAAGCATTATTTATTATGCTATTAACTGTCAAAGTAAAACTTTCTGTGTTCCAAGACAAAGATTATTTACACCACTTCCTTAATAAATTGAACTGTTTACATCAATTACAGAGTGTTTCCAGATTCTCAGCCTGCGAGTCACCTTGTATCAGGTAGTAAAGGTCAAGGTATGAATAAACAGAAATATGGAAGTCACAGGAAGTGTGTTTATTTGGTAAATTGTGCTTTTACAATGTATACGGTTCGTCATTTTTGGTTTGCAGCGTTCAATCAGAATCAGAGTCCCTTCGACCGTATTGCTGTTTTGGCAGTTGTTCTTGTAACTCGAGGACATGTTCGATGGGCTTTGGCTTCCCATCATCTCCAATCCGACAAGGCTGCACCAAACCTTGTCTAAAACGATAACATTGAAAATTGTAAATTAAGAACAACGAGTATTAGAAGTATGCAAATATAATATTACAGAGTCAGGGACTCTAGTGGCTCGCTATACTAACTTTGTCAATGCATCGATGAGGCCTGCAAGCTGTAAGGCTTCGTATTCTTTTTGTTCCTCGGACATACCTTCTAGAGGATTAGGTTTTGGATGCTCGAAGCACCCAGTTACTGGATTAATCCTTCAATAAAAAGACGTATTAGCATAAAAAGTCTGCAGAACATTAGAAGTGTAACTTCTTAGACGCAATGGACTTGCGATGCAATGATTTCATCCTAAAAACTCAGGAATGTTCTCTTTCCTTTCTACTCACTGTTCCTTATGTTGCAGGTACTCTTCAGTTTCACTGTCCTCCGATTCAGAAGAATAAACTGCTTTTCCTTTATTTGGACCCAGCAATCCTTTATTCGCAAACATACCTGCTGCGTTTCCATATCCTGTGTACTTGACCATGCGACTGACTGAAAGTATCAATGTTTATATTCGAAGAATATGATTCAACTAGTTCCTTTACTCTTTATTAACTACACACCGTTCTCTTTACAGAGTATGAAAAGGAATTCTGCAACTAGATCTCGTAGCTCCGTTGTAGGAGAAGTTAACAGTTTGCACAGTTTCGCTCTCAATGTCGTCCCTTCCTCTGGACGTTGCATCACATCCCTCAAAGGAGGCAAAATCTGGACAGAAACAAGAATTCTTAATTAAATCTTAATTAATTCTTAATTATTCTAATCTACAGAAACAGTAAGATACGAATTTCTCTTACTTGCTGTCTGGCGTATTTACGTATCAGTCTCTGTGATTTCGCCAGTCTGATGAATGCAGTGACGATTGGACTAAGGTTTCCTATCAGATCAGTCTTGCAGTTCAGTCTTCTATCAAGGAATTTCATTAAAATGGCCACAGCGCTCATATCTATCTCTTGGAATATTTGTTTGTGTTCATCTTGCGCAGGAGGTATGATTGTCGAATAACAATCATATGGTAGTACTGTCAGTAGGTTTGCGATATTACTGGAATGGAAAATCATTATAAAATTGTAACAGGGTCAAGTGACGACAATAAGGCACCTTACCTCTGGAGATCATCTTCCTTCTCGCATTTCAATAGCAGTAATTTATACAAAATTCTAACTAACTGTTTGTTCTTCTCCTCTTTCTCTTCGGAGTCAGCTGAGTTCATGTATAAGTTGAACAGTGCTTTCAATACTTCGCAGATCAACATTAAGTGGTCCTCCTGTGAGCAGTAGTATAGAGAGTAAAAGCCATAGCATAACTATTTAAATTTCTGTAATTATCAACGTACCTTGATCATCTGCTCTTGCTCGCATCGAGTACATACGTTTTCTAATATATTTATCAAGCATTCGTCGCCATTCAGTTCTGTTTTAACAACTTGCTGCATAGAGCTGTTCAAGGCAGTGATTAGAAATACAATTCTCGCGTGAAATAACATTACTTCTTGGGGAACGTCATCATTGTATTCCCTCATGTGTTTAATCAGGCAGGATAAACAAGATCTTGGTAGCGTTTGCTGCACTTTTGTGCTATTAAATATGAGATTGCATAGCAGCTTCAAAGACTCGATGATAACTGAAAGGTAAATAATTTCAAATCGAAAAGAATTTTACAGCGAATAGTAGAAAGTAAGGTAGTTACCATCGGAATAAGATATTTGTTGCTGTACATCTGCATCTTTGAGAGCCGCTTTATCTAATATTACATTTATTTTTTCATCTGTGAGTAATTCATTTAATTTTGTTCTATCTCGGCTATGTTAATAGAGAAAACAACAGAATTATTTTATGATATTTGCAAAGGTATACATCTAATCAAGCAGCGATACAAGTGGCATCGGAAAAGGTTTCTAATGCTGCTAGAAATAAAAATGCGTGTGAGACTCTCTCTAATAGACTTGCTAAATAAAAATGTACAACCATTGCAACTGCCGATACATGTAAATATATTGCAGGTTCCTGTTATATTCTGTTGTAGCAATACCTAAGAATCCGTAAAGTTAACAAGCAACTGCGATGAATGGAAGACTGCGATTTGTCAAGTATGTAATGAAACAGGATCTCCCATAATTTCTCTCGTAGCTGGTCCTTATTTAGTTCTTCAAACGTAACTCTATTTCCATACTGAAACACCAAAATAAAAGTCTGGCATAATCAAACGTCTGAAGTATTGTTGACTATTTCAAGCTCAAAGTTGATTTAAAAATCTGAGAAACTAAAAAATTCTTAGGCAAGTATTTTTAATTTCAGCACTTACATTTTCCTGGAATGTGACAATGTCTCTGGAGAATTCCTCGGCTGTGCCAGAGATTACTTTCAGCACCAATGAGTCCATGTTGGTGTCAGCATGCTATGCTCTCAGAAATTGAAGAGGAATTTTGGAAAATTGACAGATGTCTTGGAGACGTTTCACCATGTAAATTTAATTGTATTGCAACAGCGTTGGAGGAGTATCGATGGTTGCTTTACGACTATCGATAACTATCGATAGTGCTGCTCCATCGGTAACAGCTGTAAAAGTAGGAAAGCTTTGGGTATTGATCACCAGGGAGCTACGAGTTGCTACGCTCCTGATTTGGCTAGGTTAGGTTCGCTAAAAACCTAACCTAGCGAAATTGCTGTAATATGCATTTTGTTTAGCAAAATTGTAGTTTATTTATTTAATTCATAATGATTTTTGTAATGCGAGAATCAAATTAAAGCATGTTCAATTTTGAGGTTAATTTAGTATTGTATAATAATAATGTATAATAATACATAATTATATTGTATAATAATAATGTATAATACTTTAGTATTGTATAATAGTATTTAGTAATTGGTGTTCATAAATGAATACTGATTTAGTATTTTCTCAGGTATCTATTTGGACTAATAACTTCTTTTAAACGATAGGGCCTGCTGCAGATAATTGTTTCGCATACTCTGTTATAATATTACTTCAATTTAAATGTATTACAAATTTCCATATTCATTGAACTTTAATGTAAATTATTCCATAGGAAGCTTAAATACACATTTTTCATCAATAAACACATGTTATCGACACCAATTATTGAAATACATGTAACTATCTTTATACCATACAAATATATCTACTACGGCACTCTTATTTATCCCTTCAGGGGCTGTAGCTATGTTCAATCATAGCTGCAGTACGGGTTTGGCAATCCCGATGTACCCAAACTAACTGTATGAATGGGAGGAGTCTCAAATATGTATGTATAAGTTTCCGTAATACAAGGGCTCCCTTTATGATAATAATATTAAGGAGTATTTATTGCTACCATGGCCAATATTACTACTGCCATGATCTGGAATACCTTCGTACCAGTAATACTTTCAATATTGCAATTATTACTTACAATAGCACAGTAGTATATTATTTAAAATTAGAGTATTTATATGAGTTTGCGTAATACAAAGGCTCCCTTTGCAATAATAATATTAAGGAGTATTTGTTGCTACCGTAGCCAATATTACTACTGCCATGATCTGGAATACCTTCATACCAGTAATACTTTCAATATTGCAATTATTACTTACAAAATGACAGTAATATATTATTTAAAATTAGAGTCCCAGAATTGGACGACCTGAAAAATGGTTCCTTATTGGTCACAACTTCTACGCCATCATCCCTTGAGGCGTGGGGGCCGTTATTAACCGCGACGCTTCCGTCCTGCAACATATTACATTGACCCTGTAACACACATAAGTCCCAAGGGAAGAGCCCAAAGAAAGGGCGTGGAAGTTGCGATCAAAGGAGGAGAAACAGGTTTCCCTTTATTCGCAGGCCGTCGACTCCCTGGTCGATGCTCCTACGGCAATGTGGTTCAACGACTTTCCTGCCCGTACAAAATACACCAACCTTAGGCATTTCTTCGACCTTCCAGATTACATCACGGTCCTGTAATCGCTCCACGAGACTGGACGTTTCTTCAGGAGGAAAGATACCTGAGTTGAGTCCATCGACTCCATTGTGTGAATGTTGTTAAACTTGGGTAATGTTGGTTTTATGAGAAAAATTAATTTGTTTAATGAATTTTAGGATTGGCTGTGTCCTTCTGTGAATGATGCATTGTTTATTTCAGATTGCAATGATGCAATTAGAATGTAGGTAAAGGAGGACTGTCCATAGACGTAGGATTGGAACAATTGGAAAGATTCTGGCAATTTGGAAAGATACCTGAGTTGAGTCCATCGACTCCATTGTGTGAATGTTGTTAAACTTGGGTAATGTTGGTTTTATGAGAAAAATTAATTTGTTTAATAAATTTTAGGATTGGCTGTGTCCTTGTGTGAATGATGCATTGTTTATTTCAGATTGCAATGATGCAATTAGAATGTAGGTAAGGATTGAGTTGGTTAAATTTTGATTAGAACGGTATATGAGGGATTAGGATCTATTTGGATGGCCTCGATACCATTTTCCAGATGTAGGAATATTGAGGAATTTATTGTATCGACCTGTTGTTGTTAGTATTAATCTTTATGAACTGACAAATCATTCTCAAGTATAAAATTAAATAACCAGCAGACTCAGCTCAATATGTACTCGTATTTATACTTTTAAATTGTATAAAATGCAACACGAATCGCTAAAATATAAAGAAAATACCAATGATTCTTAATTAAAAAATTATTAATAAACTCAAAACTTTCGCACAGGCCCATCTGACGTTACAAAGGAAGCTCCGTTACGGTTCGGTCCAGAGGCTATTTCTGGCCGTTAACTCGCAGGAGAGATGAAGAAATAGATGAAGAGGTAAAAAGAAATGCCTCGAATGTGCACATTAGGCGCGGCAAGAAAAGAGCAGCGACGGAACAGGTGCCTCGCAGGAAACTCGGCATTGTCGGGGCTCCAAGGACACGCCGTTATAAAAACTCTTCCATCCCATTCGAGCTAGCATAAAAAAAGGGCCCCGTAGGGAAAAGGCGCGGGAGAGAGGCAGGGACAGAGGAGGGATGACCTTGGAGGGTAGGGTTGTCCAACATAGTGCGCATAGATGCGTAAATTATGCGCCACTTTCTAGGCGGAGCCCGAACACTGGTATATTTTCAGGCTTCTACATTGCTGGAAAACCGCTTTGGAATCTCTTTAATAAATAGACTAGGGATATTTATGCAGAATAAATTATCGTGGGCTTACCAATTCAATTATAATCAATTTAAAATCATGCTAACACATTTATACATAATAACATATATATACATGTAAATTGATTATAATCAAATTTATATATGTTTCACATTTGTATGTGTCACATTTATATATGTTTATTGTATAAATGTAATAGCATGATTCAATTCATTCCAAATAGACTGCAGATACTTGTGCAAAATAGAATAATTGCAAATGTGCCTTGCGAGCATTTATATCATGATAATAGCAT